TTACTATTTATACATATTTATCCTCTTTTATTCTTAAACAATTCATTCTTTTTCTTAATCTATTTGTTTGTTCAGAGCTGCCTTTCTTCCACTTCATCTTCTTTTTTTTATTGTACAGCAATCTTTCTCCTCAAACCTAGCCTCTCCCTCTTCTCCTTCCAACTTTCTTTCCCCACCTTCTTCTTTTCTTCTCCCCCTTCTCTTCTCCTTCTCCTCCTCTCTTCCTCCCTCTCTTGCCTTCTTTCCTACTCTACTTTCCCTTCCCTTCCTTCTTCCCTACTCTTCCATCCCTCTCTCTCCTCCCTCCTCCCTTCCAATTCGAGCGAACAAGGAAGTTGTTAAGCGAATCCACTGCTTGCTCTGCTGTGGTTTTTAACAGATGCCAGATTTCGGCAGAAATATCAGAAAACGTGGTCAGATGATCACAGGATGCTGCAAACAGGTGTAAACGTGGGTCGGTTGCCGAGTGAATTGTGGTTGTGTGATTCTGCGGCCGTCAGAATTGCATAACTAGGCACTTTTGGGGGTTTCTGTCGTAACCTCGAACTGGTCGTAAGTCGAGGACTGCCTGTTAGGCTTCAAGGGAAGTGGCTTGCTTCATCTTTGCAAAGCTCAAACCGGTCACAATTTAGGAGCAAATTTCAAGGCGTGTTAAAAGAAAAAAAAAACCTACTACAATATTATGGGATGTTCTTCAGAAAAGGAAGCTGTGAGTCTTTGGGCCCCGCCCTTTTCAGGTAGTCCTCGACCTCTGGCCACGAGGGAGGCCAACATTTCTGTGGCGAAGCGAGACAGCCGTTAAAGTGAGCTTTGCCCCATTCGACCACCCTTCTGGCCACCGTTGTTAAGTGAATCACCGCAGGGGTTAAGTCAGTAACACAGACATTAAGCGAATCTGGCTTCACTATTGACTTTGCTTGTCAGAAGGTCGCAAAACGGGATCGCACAGCGACCGTCGTAAGTATACCCCAGTTGCCAACGCTCTGAATTTTGATCACGTGGGGATGCTCCAACGGTCGTAAGTGTGAAAAAACGGTCCTAAGTCATTTTTTCCGCTGCTTTTTAACTTTGGACGGTCACTAAATGAACCGTTGTAAGTGGAGGACCGTCTGTAGGCAGCTGCAGGCTATGTTGTCTCTTATCTGACCGGTCTCTAAGCAGCATCTCTTGTCCCTGACTCCCACTGTGGTCTTGTCTACATGCCCTTAGAGCTCCTGTTCACGAAATGGTCTTTCCTTGGTGTTGAATTGTTGTGTTGAATTGTGTTACAGGCCCACCCTCGGGAGTTTTCTGCTTGTTTTATTGTTAAAAGCGTTCTTCTCTGTGAGGTGTTCAAATCTTAGCCTGCCCTCCCACCTTGTGGTGAGAACAGAAATTAACACAGCTAGTTACAGCTTTAGAGATGAGGAATACAGAATCACAGAGTTGGAAGGGACCTCGGAGGTCTTCTAGTCCAACCCTCTGCCGAAGCAGGAGACCTTATCGTATAAGGTGTAAGGCTTATACCATTCCAGACAACTGGCTGTCCAATCTCTTCTTTAAAACCTCCAGTGATGGAGCACCCACCACTTCTGGTGGCAAGCTGTTCCACTGGTTAATTGTTGTCACCGTTAGGAAGTTTCTCCTTAATTCCAGGTTTCTCTCTTTGATTATTTTCCATTCATCTCCTTCCTTCCTTCCTTCCTTCCTTCCTTCCTTCCTTCCTTCCTTCCTTCCTTCCCTCCCTCCCCCTCCCTCCCTCCCTCCCTTCCTTCCTTCCTTCCTTCCTTCCTTCCCTGAATCATAGAACGCTAGGATCATAGGACCCTGGAGGTCTTCTAGTCCAACCCTCTGCTCAAGCAGGAGACCTTATACCATTTCAGACACATGGTTGTGTCTTCCACCACCTTCAGTGGTGGAACCTCTGGTGGCAAGCTGTTCCACTGGTTAATTGTCCTCGCTGTCAGGAAGTTTCTCCTTAATTCCAGATTGCTTCTCTCCTTGATTAATTTCCATCCGTTGCTTCTTGTCCTGCCTTCAGGGGCTTTGGAGAACAGGTTGACCCCCTCTTTTCTGTGACAGCCCCTCAAATATTGGAAGATTGCTATCCTGTCTCTCCTACTCCTTCTCTTCATTAAACTAGACATACCCAGTTCCTGCAACCGTTCTTCGTATGTTTTAGCCTCCAGTCCCCTAATCCTCTTGGTTGCTCTTCTCTGCACTCTTTCCAAAGTCTCAGCATCTTTTTTACATCATGGTGACCAAAACTGGATGCAGGATTCCCAAGGCCTTATAAAGTGGTTTTAAGTGGTTTCACATATCCCCTCATCTAAATTGCATATGAAGATGTTGAAGTGTACTGGCCCCAATACAGAACCTTGAGGTACCCCACAGGCATGAAAACCAGTTGAGTGACCTTGGGCCAGTCACCAGTCTAGAAAACAGGAGACAGGGAGTTCTATGTAGTCCCACTTTAGGCATGAAAGCCAGCTGGGTGACTTTGGGCCAATCACTGCCAGGAGATGGGGAGTTCTAGTCCAGCCTTAGGCATGAAAGCCAGCTGGGTGACTTTGGGCCAATCATCACCAGGAGACTGGGAGTTCTAGTCCCGCCTTAGGCATGAAAGCCGGCTGGGTGACTTTGGGCCAATCACTATCAGGAGACGAGGAGTTCTAGTTCTTCCTTAGGGACGAAAACCAGCTGGGTGACTTTGGGCCAATAATCACCAGGAGACTGGGAGTTCTAGTCCTGCCTTAGGCATGAAAGCCAACTGGGTGACTTTGGACCAATCACCACCAGGAGACAGGGAGTTCTAGTCCTTCCTTAGGGACAAAAGCCAGCTGGGTGACTTTGGACCAATCACCACCAGGAGACAGGGAGTTCTAGTCCTGCCTTAGGCATGAAAGCCAACTGGGTGACTTTGGACCAATCACCACCAGGAGACAGAGAGTTCTAGTCCTGCCTTAGGCATGAAAGCCAACTGGGTGACTTTGGACCAATCACCACCAGGAGACAGGGAGTTCTAGTCCTGCCTTAGACATGAAAGCCGGCTGGGTGACTTTGGGCCAATTACTATCAGGAGACGAGGAGTTCTAGTCCTTCCTTAGGGATGAAAGCCAGCTGGGTGACTTTGGGCCAATCATCACCAGGAAACTGGGAGTTCTAGTCCTGCCTTAGGCATGAAAGCCGGCTGGTTTATTTTGGACTAATCACTAGGAGACGGGGAGTTCTAGTTTTAGGCATGAAAGCTGGCTGGGTGACTGTTTAATAGTCCTTTTTGTGATTTCGCAGATAGTGGCTTCACTGACGGATCTTTTTCTAGTGAACCTTTAAAACCTGTGTGGAATCTTTCACCAGGTGACGCGAGTTGTGCAAATATGAGCTAGAAATGGATTGGGTTTTCTTTGAATGGGAAATTAGAATTATTTGTATTAGAATCAGATTGGGGATATTGGACAAGTGTTTTCCAGCCATTTAGGCCTCAGAAAGATATGCAGTTCAATCAGAAATTAATTTTTTTCTTTTTCTCTCTTTTCTTCCTTCCTTCCTTCCTTCCTCCTTTTGCTTCCTTCCTTCCTTTCCTTTCCCTTTCTTTCTCCCTTCCCTTCCCTTTCTCCCTTCCTTTTTTTTTTTTTCCCTTTCTGAACTACTATTATTAGTTTCAGTAAGGAAACTAATCCAGGAGAAAAGCAACCTAGAACTAAAGGAGAACTTTCCTGACAGTGAGAACAATTAATCAGTGGAACGACTTGCCACCAGAAGTTGTGGGTGCTCCATTACTGGAGGTTTTCCAGAAGAGACTGGACAGCCACTTGTCTGAAATGGGATAGGGCAGTGATGGCTAACCTTTTTGCCGTCGTGTGCCAAAAGTGAGGGGAGCACAGGGGGGGTGACACCCACATGTACCCCCACCCATAATTCAGTATGCCCCACCCCCACGCACATGTGCGTGTGACACCCCTGTGCGTTCCCCGCTTTTGGCACACGATGGCACAGTGGGCCCAGTAGACCCATTTTTCGCCCTCCCCAGGCTCCAGACGCTTTCTTGGAGCCTGGGAAGGGCAAAAACAGCCTTCCCACCCCCTCCAGAGGCCCTCCAAAGACTGGAAATAGCCTGTTTCCTGACTTCTGATGGGCCCGGAAGGCCTGAAAATTAGCTGGGAGCTGAGCTAGGGCAACGCTCGTGTGCCCACCGATATGATTCTGCGTGCCACCTGTGGTTGGCCATCATGGGTATAGGGTCTCCTAGTTGAGCAGGGGGGTGGACTGGAAGACCTCCAAGGTCCCTTCCAGCTGTTCTTCTACTATCTGTCAGCGTTCCAGCGCTGACATATTGAAAGGAGAGGAGAAGCTTGAACTTTTGCCTACTTAATTCCTTTGAAGATTCTGTTTCCTCGGAGATGGGAGGAGGGGGGGACATTCCTGTGATCTGACGGAGATGGGATGAGGAGAGTGGTTTGGAAGATAGCCAATGAGACGCAGAGAATTGGGGATCGGAAAGGGAGGGATTGGGGGGGCAAAGGTCAGTGCTGACCGCAAAAGAGCCAGGGACAGATCACTATGCTCAATAAAGAGAAAATTTCCTCAAAGATCGGCAGTTTGGAAATTCATTTATTTTGAGATAGTATCGAAACCTGACACTATCCTTCCTTCCTTCCTTCCTTCCTTCCTTCCTTCCTTCCTTCCTTCCTTCCTTCCTTCCTTCCTTCCTTCCCCCCTCCCTCCCTCCTTCCATCCCTTTCCCTTCCTCTTCTCTGACTTCAGCTTGTTCCTTCTTCCTTCCTCCCTCCCTCCCTCCCCTTCCCTCTTTCCTTAAGATTTGTGGACTTCAACTCCCAGAATTCCCCAGCCAGCATGGTGGAATTCTGGATGAGGAATTCTGGGAGTTGAAGTCCACAAGCCTTAAACATGCCAAATTGGGAGGTCAGAGCTCTAACAAGGAAGATTCCACACACACACCCCACCACCCCCATTGAGGAAGTCATTTGGGGGAATAAAGAATGAATTCGCACACCTTTTGATTCCTGGTTCTGCTGTTTTATTTTTTTGGATTTGTACAGCTATATTTTACAGAATGCATTAATGCAGTTTGATGTACCCCCAAACCCTGTCACCGAGATCAACCGATTGTAACACAAGTGTATAAAATGAGACCAAATTATTCTTATGATTTCCTTTTTTTTTTTTTAAAAAGAACAAAACGGACTTTTTTTCCCCCCATCCAGAGTTTGCCCTGATCTCCCCTCTTTCACAATTCTTAAACCGTACCGGATTTCAGTTTTGTCGAAAAGAAAGGCACTGTGAAAAAACCAAAAAAATAATATCCCCAAACAAACATTATACATATATATTTATATTTTTATATATATATATATATATTTATATACAGACTGGGAAAAAAAATACACTTTTATATTATTTTAAATTCCTTCTGCAGCTTTAGTTTTTGTTTTTTAATACACGCTTTTTTTTTGTAAATTGTAAACCTTCACTTGCAAAAAAATACAAATACACACTCAATGCTCTTAGACAAAATATTTTCTCACCAAGACTGATGCAGAATATTTTTATTTTTTTTAAAATATCTTGTTAAGTGCTCCTTTTTTTTTTTTGCAATGGAGGCTCCCATCAGCCTTCTGCCTGCAGAGACTAAACACAGAGACTTCAATGCATTTATACATATACATACATACATTTTATATATATATATATATATATATTTATATATATATATATATAATATCTTTTAAAGGCACACACATATATATATATTTATATATATATATGTATTTATATATATGTGTGTGTGTGTATATATATATGTATGCTGTTTCTTTATATATATACACACACACACATATATGTATATATATATTTCATATATTCATCTATTTACAATTCCGCCATAAATTCCTTCACCTTTGGTTAAAAAGTTTGAAAGCCCCCTCCCCTTTCGTATCCCTTATACAATCTCTTTCTCTGTTGTGAAAAACACACACGCACTTTTGCATAAAAAGATATACACTTTGCTTGCTCCCGTAAAACGATGTACATTCCTCAATTATTTTTCCCGCGGGATGGTGGTAGAGGGGGAACGAGATTTTTCGACATTCTCCCGCAACGGACAGTGTAAGAAAAAGTCGTTGACCCTCTCTTCTGTTTGCACACACACATACGCACACTCGCACAAACACACAGGCACGCACGCACAAGTAGTCCGAACGGTGACTTTACACAACTTGGGGGAACAAAACCGATCAACGTAAACCCAACGTAAAATGTCCTTCTGTTCTCGCATTCCCGTCTTGTCCTTCGCTCCGGGCTTCTAGAGGCACTCCGATGTGTAACAACGACAACGACAACACAGACAGCAAGAACGACAACGGGTTTTGTTTTTTCCTAAAGTGATCGAAGCATCCTTTGCACATCCTTGCCCGCCCTTTCCCCGGAAGGAGCCTCTTGGCTACGTCCGCCGTTTCGTGCCGCTAGTCCTCAACACGCCTTGGAGAGTTCCGGGGGAGCGTCGACGGGCGACAGGCGGTACTGCACCTTGGTGTTCGTGATGGCGCCGTGTTTCTGCCGGAGGTGCAGGCGGAGTTGGCTCTTGTGTCGGAAGTGCAGGTTGCACTTTTCACACTGCAAGGGATTGAAGTGGGTTGCAACGTCAGATGTGTCATTTTTAGGGAGCAATGGATATCGAGAAAGCAGTGGTGAAATGGAAAATTTGTTACTACCGGTTCTGTGGGCGTGGCTTGGTGAGGGTGGGGGTAATATGACTGAGTGGGCGTCCCAACTTTTTTTTTTTTTTACTTTTAAAGCCATTTTTTCTTCGGCTGAAGAGGTTGTAAAAAAAAATGCTTTTAAAGCCTCTGACGATCCCAGCTGAGTTGCCTGATCGGCAGAGGCTTTTTTTCCTTTTAAAAACATTTTTTCTATAACCTCTTTGGCCGAAGAAGTTGTAGAAAAAATGCTTTTAAAAGCCTCTGATGATACCAGCTGAGCCGCGCACGATCATCAGAGGCTATTTTTTTTTTTTAAACTTTTAAAAGCATTTTTTCGGCCAAAGAGGTGGTAAAAAAATGCTTTTAAAAATTTTAAAAAACCTTCGATGATTGTGCAGCTCAGCTGGGCAATGGGGGGGGGGAGCAGGGATTTTTGCTACCGGTTCTCCAAACCACCCGCCTCCATCGCTACCGGATCAGGCGATCCGGTCGGGAACCGGGAGCATTTCACCCCTGCGAGAAAGGAAAGGGGGACGCTTGAAATGAATTTTTTTTAAAAAAATCAGATTTCTCCCCAGGAAAACTACAGCTAGTCTTTGGCTAATGTGTATTACATCTATTGATATTTATTGTGCTCGAAATTACAGGTAGGTAGTCCTGGATTTACAAGTACTCATTTAGTGACCGTTCAAAGTTACAATGGAGAAATTTCCTGACAGTTAGAACAATTAACCAGTGGAACTACTTGCCTCCAGAAGTTGTGAATGCTCCAACACTGGAAGTTTTTAAGAGGAGATTGGATAACCATTTGTCTGAAATGGCGTAGGTTTTCCTGCCTAAGCAGGGGGTTGGACTAGAAGACCTCCAAGGTCCCTTCCAACTCTGTTATTCTATTCTATTCTGAACAATGTGACTTATGACCATTTTTCACACTTACGACCATTGCAGCATCCTCGTGGCCACGCCATCAAAATTCACGTGGCAACTGACTCCTATTTATGACGGACGCAGCATCCCAGGGGTCACGTGATCCCCTTTTGTGACCATCCGACAAGCAAAGACACTGGGGAAGCCAGATTCACTTAACAACCATGTTCCTAGTTTAACCACAGTGCTTCGCTTAACGATGGTGGCAAGAAAGTTCTTAAAATGGGGCAAAACTCACTTCACAAATGTCTCGCTTAGCAATGGAAATGTTGGGCTCCGTCGTCGTGTTCGTAAATCAAGGACTAACCGTATCTGGCGTGGCCCAGAGCGGCTCACAAAAAGCCAAGATGGCAGCCACGATGTTGCAGCTCCAGACGCCATCTTGACTTTGCGGTCTCTCCGGCAGACAGCCACAGAAGATGCCACCCCCCTTGCGTCCCCCACGGGGAAGTCGTGGTCCCTTTTTGTCCCGTTTTCCCCCCACACACACACACCCGTTTTGTTGTCGTTGTGCGAACGGACACAGCACAGAAGGGAGTTTTTGCTTACATGGTAGGGTTTTTCTCCGGTATGGATTCTCAAGTGACTCTTGAGGGTCTGGAGGTGTCGGAAACGGGTACCGCAGATTTCGCACGGGTACGGCTTCTCCCCGGTGTGGATGAGGACGTGCGCTCGGAGGTGAGCCACCTGGGAATGGTAGAGGAGAGTCAAGACGGGCATCCGGGGTCCATTTCTCCCAGCCCCTCCCTCCGAACCCTTGTGAAAAAAAGGGGGGCTCTGATGACCCACAGCTTTTCCATCTGTCCATCCCACCTGTCTCCTCTTCGTTAAAAAAAAAAAGAGAGAGAGCCGAGAGCAAATGGATCACTTGATCCACATTTTAAGCTTGATGGGAGAGAACGATCCGGTGGTCTATTCAGTTGGCCTATTGTGTTTTTTTTTTTCTTTTCAATGTGTTTACTTATTTTTATTATCATTATTTTATTTATTTTTTACTTTCTTTTTTTTTTACTTTATCCTCCTTTCCTCCTCTCTCTGTCTCTCTCTCTGCATCTATCTATCATTTATTTATGTATCTATCTGTCATCATCATCTATTCATCCATCCGTTTATTATCTATCATCTATCAATCAATTTTATCTATCATCTATTAACTATCATCAATCAACCATCTACCATATATCTACTGTCTCTATCTACAGTATCATCAATCGTATCTATGTATCAATATCTATAAGCTATCAATCAGTCTCTCTCTCTCCTGTCATCTAACTATCTGTATATCTACATTTCTCTCTCTCATCTAGCTATTATCTATCTATCTATCTATCTATCTATCTATCTATCTATCTATCTATCTATATCTATATCTACATCTAACTATCTATCTTACATCTATCTATCTTATATCTACATCTATCTATCTACATCTATCATATCTATATCTATCTATCTACATCTATATCTATCTATCTATCTATCTCTATCTATCTTACATCTATCTATCTTATATCTACATCTATCTATCTATCTATCTATCTATCTATCTATCTATCTATCTTACATCTATCTATCATCTATCTACATCTATCTATCTACATCTATATCTATCTATCTTACATCTATCTTATATCTACATCTATCTATCTATCTACATCTATCTATCTACATCTCTATCATATATCTACATCTATCTATCTATCTACATCTATATCTATCTTACATCTATCTATCTTATATCTACATCTATCTATCTACATCTATCTATCTATCTATCTATCTATCTATCTGTCTGTCTGTCTGTCTGTCTATATATCTATGTATCTATCTCTATCTATCTATCATCTATCATATATATCTACATCTCTCTCTCTCTCTCTCTCTCTCTCTCTCTGTATCTATCTATCTATCATCTAAATTTTAGAAATTTAGAAATAACCGATCTCCCTCATATTTCTCAAACTCATTCTCAAACATGACAATTTGGGAAGTTCTTCCTTCATTGGCTCTGTGGTGTTTGCTAGCCAGGATTGGTCAAAAAAGTCAAGATGGCTACCACGATGCAGCACTCTACATTTAAAAAGGCTCAACTTCCTTCGCACTATTGCACCCGCCATCTTGACTTCTTTGACCTGAGGAGGCCTCCGCAGCTCCTACCATGTCTCACGAGGGGAGGGAGGGTGTTTAAAGATTTGTTCAGAGGCTGGTCAAACATCTTTTGACGGTGACAGACACCAACCTGTACGAAGCGGGCTCCACATGTTTCACATTTGTAAGGCTTCTCCCCGGAGTGGATCCGCGTATGAGTCTTGAGGTTGGCCGGACGGTTGAACTGCGCCCCGCAGATGCCGCAACGGTAGGGCTTCTCGCCTGTTTTGGACCAACAAAAACAGCACGTTTTTAGTGTCACAAAGTTATTTGCACACAAACAAACAACAAAGCTTTGCATCACAATTCCACTCCCAGAATTCCCCATCCAGTTATGGGTGAACTTCAAGGTAAATTACATCCACTACGTTCCCTCCATCTACTAATCTCGCCTCTTGGTCCCAAAAAACTGTTTCTTAACCTCTGCAACTTTAAGCGGGGCGGACTTCAACTCCCAGAATTCCTCAGCCAGCTGGCTGGGGAATTCTGGGAGTTGAAGTCCGCCCCGCTTAAAGTTGTCCAGATTGAGAAAAACGGCTCTAACAAAACTCACAAATTTGGCATCCCCTTCGAATAACACCTTTTTCAAAGTTTAGGCCATCTAATCCTCACGGGATACCACAAACTTTGGATCCCCAGAGTCGTCTCTAGGATTAACTTTCCTCAAGACTTCAACTCCCAGGATTCCAAAGGTTTTCCTAGCTGAGGATGCTGGGAGTTGAAGTTCCACCTGTACAGATTTTTTTTTCCCCCAGCCGAGTTGGTCAATGTTTCAATGGGGCCAATTGTGACTCAATTTTGTTCTTTTCAAGCCAACATTTGAGGGTCTCGGTGTGTGTGTGTGGGGGGGGGGGGGGGTCAAAAAAAAAAGTCCTACACTCCAGGCTGTTTCCAAGGAAGGATATGAAATTTCCCCAGAATCCCCTCCTGCCCGAGACCCATAATTGATTCTGGCTGCTGAAAGACCCCTCCCCAATTCCCAGGATCAAACCATGTCTCTTTTCTGGCATCCGCCCCCCCAATCACATGTACCAAAGGAGTGGATTTTGCAACCCACAACTGTGGCATACTGCTTTGTCTATTTCATAGGTAGTCCTCAACTTACAGTGATCTGTTTAGTGACCATTTGAAGTTACAACGTCACTGAAAAAAAGTGACTTGCGAACCCGTTTTTCACACTTACGACCGTTGCAGCATTCCTACAATCGCAGGGTCAAAATTCAGCCGTTCGGCAACTGACTCGTACTTATGACGGTCACAGTGTCACCCGGGGTCACGTGATCCCCATTTTGCGGCCTTCTGACCGGCAAAGTCAACGGGGAAGCCAGATTCACTTAACAACCGTGTTGCTCACTTAAGAACTGCAGTGATTCACTCAACAACTGTGGCAATAAAGGTCGTAAAATAAGGCAAATCTCCCTTTATCGACTGTCTCGCTTAACGACGGAAATTTGGGGCTCGATTTTGGCCATTAACTCGAGGACTACCTGCCCTCCATTTCATTTTGACGCTGGAGTGTCTGCCGCCGTGAGCTTTCTCACATTCGTCTGAAGCTTTCTGGTGGCAGCTACAGGAGTCCTCGACTTATGACCATAATTGGGGCCAGATTTTCCATCATAAGTTGGGGTGCTTGTAAAGCAAATCATCATTTCGGCCTCATCCGTTTTCATGACATTTTTACCATGGTTATTAAGTGAATCATGTGGTCGTTAATTGAATCTGGCTCCCTCCATTGACTTTGCTTGTCAGAAGCTCCCTGGGAAAGGAGGGTCGCACATGAGGATCTTGTCATCCTGGGACGACTCATGTGGGTTGCCAAGTGCTTGGATTTTGATCACAAACGCCCGCAAGGACGCTGGGATGGTCGCAAGTGCGAGGACTGGTCCCAAGTCACTTTTCTCAGTGCCGTCGTAACATTTAATGTTTGCTAAATGAATGGTCGTAAGTGCAAAGATTGGTCATAAGTGCAAGGTTTGGTCGCAAGTCACTTTTTTCAGTGCTGTTGTAGCTTTGGTCGCTAAATGAACGGACGTAAGTGCGAGGACTGGTCCTAACTCACTTTTTTCAGCGCCCTCACCACTTTGGTCACTAAGCAGATGTTTGCGAGTGGGAGGACGGGTCCTCGATCACTTTTTTTTCAGCGCCGTCGTAACTTCAAACGGTCGCTAGGCAAATGGTCGTAAGTCGAGGACTTCTTACAATTGGCCTTTTTCCTTTTTTCGCCCCCCCCCCAAATTGGGGTCTGCTGCCTGTGGATTGGAGCCCTTCAACCCCCACCCCCACTACATTCAACGGCACTCTGGAGACCCGCAGTTACGCGCCGGCCCCAGGCCGTGGCGGCCCGTCTCCTGTGCCCTCCCGGGGGGGACGTTGTACCTGTGTGCACGGTTTTGTGACTGGCTAGGTTCCCCTTGTAGCGAAACGAGGCCTGGCAACGGTCACACTTGTAGGGTTTGTCACTGTGCGTTTGCAGGGAATGTTTCTTGAATGCGGCCTCTTCCGAGAACGGGCACTGGCACTCTTTGCAGAAAAAAGACCGGGTTTCTGTCGGAGAGGAAGAGGAGGGGACGCGGGTGAGAATCGCGCAGTACGGCGCTACGCCGGGCCACCCTCAAACCGGGCACAAGGTGGCCCCCCTCGCCTCGCTGCCAAAAAGCAAGCCAGGATTAGCCCGCGTCCAGTTTTGCACTGCAGACGCAAAATCGATCAGCACCATGTGATGGAACAGCCCCAAATAAATGTTGGGATATAATATTATCTAATATCAAATGGAATATAATAATACAGGTAGTCCTCGACTTACGACCACAACAGAGCCCAACATTTCTGTTGCTAAGTGAGACATTGGTGAAGCGGGTTTTGCTCCATTTTACGACCTTCCTTGACACAGTTGTTAAGTGAATCGCTGTGGTTGTTAAGTTAGAAACCTGGTTGTTAAGTGAATCTGGCTTCCCCATGGACTGTGCTTGTCAAACGGTCGCAAAAGGGGATCAGAGACCCCTGGACACTGCAACCGTCATAAGTATGAACCAGTTGCCAAGCATCTGAATTTTGATCACATGACCCTGGGAATACTACAAATGCCATAAGTGTGAAAAATGATCATAAGTCATTATTTTCAGTGCAACTTTACCTTTGAATGGTCACTAAATGAATTGCTGTAAATCAAGGACTACCACTATAATAATATTCTTCAAGCTACAGCAAAATCATACCAAAAGAGCAAGATTTCTGAATCTAATTTTACATACAGGTAGTCCTCGATTTACGACCACAATGGAGCCCAAAATTTCTGACGCTAAGCAAAACAGTTGCCAAGTGAGTTTTGTCCTCTCTTATGAACTCTCTTGCCACCGTTCTTAAGTGAATCACTGCAGGAGTCAGAAGGTTGCAAAAGGGGATCACATGACCCCAGAATGCTGGAACCTTCATAAATATGAATTGCGGGCCATTTTATGGCCTTTTTTTGCCATGGTTGTTAAGCGAATCACTGCAGTTCTTAAGGGACTCAGAAAGTCATTAAGTGAACCTGGCTTCCCCCATTGCCCCGGACGGTCGGAAGCCAGCTGGAACGGTTGCAAATGGCGATCTTGTGACCCCAGGACACAGCAACTGTCAAAAATACATTCATAATGCCAAGCACTTGAATTTCGTTTATGTGACTATGGGGCTGCTGCAATGGCCATAAGTGTGAGGCCCAGTCATATGTGTGAGGCCCTGTCATAAGCACAAGATCCAGTCATAAATTGCTATTTTTCAGTGCCACTGGAACTTCAAACAGTCTTTTAAACAAATGGTTGTAATTCGAGGACTACCTGTATTAAACTGACCCCATCTGCAAAAGACGAGCCTCCCTCATTCAGCAGAGTCTATCTTTAAGCAGGAATAAGCTTCCACCTGCTCGGCATATCGAGGCAAGGAGTCAAGCCATCCTTTAACCAACATGAAGAATGCCCCCAAAAAGCATCAGAATTTTATTTTTTTTCTGGACTTACCACAACTGGAATCTGAATATTCTGACTGGGTTTCCCCCATTTCTTCTCCAAAGTTGGATCCGGGGGTATGAAGGCACATTTCCGAATGCTGCGGGGATCGAGAACCGCACGAGCTGCACTTGGACGAGTGCAGGTACAACGGCGACTGGTCCTCGCTGCTCCGAGGAGAACCATCAAGTGACCTAAGGAGGAAGAAACTGGGTTAAGACTAACCTCCGCTGGTGGGAAAACTGCCCTTTGATTCATCTGGGGCTGAGCTAAACCACAGTTTCTTACTCTGATATTGCTCGGCTCGACTTATCGCATTTGGCCGGAGCTTCAACTGCGTTTGGCAACCACGAAGGGTCCCCGAGGCCATGAAGTTAAATCTATAAATATTTTAACATGTCTCGGTTTTTACAGGTAATCCTTAATTTATGATGACAATCAAGCCCAAAATTTCTCCTGCCAAGCGAGACAGACGTTAACTGAATTTTGCCCCACTTTACGAACTTTCTTGCCACCGTTGTTAAGTGAATCACTGCAGTTGTTAAGTTGGTAACATGGTCCTTAAGTGAATCCGGCTTCCCCATTGACTTTGCCTGTTAGAAGGTCGCAACCGTCATAAATATGAGCCAGTTACCAAGGGTCTGAATTTTGATCATGCGACCACAGGGAGGCTGTGAAAAACCATCATAAGTCACTTTTTTTCAGTGCCACTGTAACTTTGAATGGTCACTAAACGAGCTGTTGTAAGTCAAGGATTTACACGTAATTTCTAGCACAGTAAACATTGATAGATGTAATGCACATCAGCCAAACTCTTTGTTTGGGTTCCTCAATCCTTTTTAAGATAAAGGAATCCTGGGAATGTTTGAGAATTGGTGGGTTATGCCAATAAACCAAGATGTACAAACCAGCATTTGTCCTGTTACAACTCACTAAGGTTTGTATCCCTGTTAATCAAACTGCTTGAAGTGTAGATTTAGCAACAGTGACTCTGCTCAGCCTTTGTACCCTCCAGACACCCCAAATTAACCCAGTTACTACAAACAACATTGTACACTGAACCCTAAACCCAGTAAGCAGAGCCGAGTTCACACAACTCCTGAGCCTAAATTCACACAATGCTAAAACTCATTTAGCATCTCTCACGATTACAGGCATTTGCTCTCCAACTGACCTGGGTACAGGGATGTTGTGTGAACGCAACTATAGCATAACGGAGGAAGTTCTGGCCTGCTTCTCAACAGCCAGACAAAATGAAATTCATGGCGTTGTCAGAATCCCACGATTTACCCATAGCTAAAATGAATTTAACCACATTTATAAAGGTTACAAACAGGGGTGAAATCCAAATTTTTTTACTGTTGATTCTGTGGGTGGGGCTTGGTGGGCGTGGCAGGGGAAGGATACCATTCCCTCCCCACTCCAGGGGAAGGATACTGCAAAATCTCCATTCCCACCCCACTCCAGGGGAAGGATATTGCAAAAACTCCATTCCCTCCCCACTCTGGGGTCAGCCAGAGGTGGTATTTGCGGGTTCTCCAAACTGCTCAAAATTTCCGCTACTGGTTCTCCAGAACCTGTAAGAACCTGCTGAATTTCACCCCTGGTTACATGAAATTTAAGGTTGATTTAATAGGTACTAGATAATCTGTGCCCTGTTGGGTAAGGGTTTCAAAAATATTTCCTAACCTTAACAGAAAAATAGAATAACCAAGAGCGGGCAAAAAAGCAGGAAGAGGAGTGACTTCCGATTTCCCACTGGCTTCCCCATTGAGTTTCCTTGTGGGAATCCAGTAGTGCATAGAAAACCTTCCTTCCTTCCTTCCTTCCTTCCTTCCTTCCTTCCTTCCTTCCTTCCTTCCTTCCTTCCCTCCCTCCCTCCCTCCCTCCCTCCCTCCCTCCCTCCCTCCCTCCCTTTTCTTTCCTTCCCTGCTGGCAGGTAAGTGGTTTTTGGTGGAAGATCGAGGAAGGGACTACTAGAATGACTGGGAAACTGTCATAGAACATCAAAGCTGAAAAATCATATGATTGTGGCAATAGCCCAGTAGAGCAGCAACTGCCAGTAGCACTAAAGCAACCACAATGTCTCCACAAATGTCAGCCCCTCGGGAGTCATGGATCCCAGATTTTGAACGTATTCTGTAAGCTAGTCCATTCAAGGTACCTTGGTTGAAAAACTGTTGCCTTGCGACTCACCGTTTCTCCCCCCCCCCAATTAAAGGTCACAACAAGTTTGGCAGTGTATAGATTACATTGACACCAGGGTGGATAAAAATCAATGATTTTTTTAAAAAAAATCAAAAAAATCAGATATTTTTGATTTAAATCGGATTTTTTTGATTTAAATCAGATTCTTTTGATTTTTATCGAATTTATTTTAATAAAAAACTTTTGGGGTAAAAATCTATCGTAAGATAGTTTTCTTTTTAAGATACATAAATAATTTAGTTTATTCAGCATGAAACGGAGCTGAGTTATGTAGCAGGAGGCTGTGTATTCTGCAACCCTGGGACTATCGGTGAGTCAACAGCGGGTCAAAGGAGTAGCAGAGATGACAGTCGCTCTTTAAAAATTATGATTTAAATCGAGTTGATTTTAATCAAGCCTTTTTACTAGTGATTTAAATCATGATTTAAATTGTGATTTAAATCAACTCGATTTAAATCAAACCCACCCTGATTGACACTCAAGAAAAGCACTTCTGGAGGATACAGGGTTGGGAAGAGACGGTTGGATTAAATTAATTCAGCATTTCTCAACCACAGCAACTCAAAAACGAGCAGACTCCACCTCCTAAAATGGTGGCTGGCTGGGGAATTCTGGGAGTTGAAGTCCACACAAGTTGCTAAAGTCGCAAAACACGGCCCTAACTCATAATATATTTTAGCATCCAGTGGTCAGTAAGATCAGACCAGGTGAGAATCTGGATGAGACACCACTAGTAAAATCCAGATCTACACATACATACACACCAGCATGTACACCCACTACTGACACAAGAAGGAACTGGTCCATACCTGTTAAGAATATTGTTGAGGCGGCTCGCTTGTGGGATAGTTGAGTCTTCCCCATTGATGTTGAGCTTGGTTGGGGACTGCACATCCATGTTCTCGGGCTCCAGGGACTGCTGACACGTCAACGAGGGGGGGTACGGCCGCGGGGAGAGCGTCCCAGCCTCGGTGTGTTCCGGCACATCCTCCTTGGCGTTCTGGTTAAGTGAATTGAGCACGATAAATTTGTACTTCTTCCAGTTGCATGCCTTGGGATCGGTGGGACTCTTTGCCGAAGTCACGCTCGGGCCGATACAGGCGTTCTTACTGCTGCTGGACTCGGTTGGCGAGTTGGGTTGGCAGTCCGACTTTTGGGGGCTCTGAGGGCTGGTCACCACTTTCCGGTTCATGGGCGCATTGGTGGGCTCGAAGCGCTGGGCCCTCTTGGCTTCGGCAGTCGGCCTCTCTTCTTCCTTGCTTATTTTGTTGCACCCAAAATAGGCATTGTTGTGAGTCAGAGAGGGTGCAGGGTCAGGACCCGTAGCGGGGCTGTAGCGGACATCAGTTTTGTTCTCCTTGTCCGTCTCTTCCTTTGGAGAGTAGACAGCGGGGCGGCATAGGCTGGGCGAGAGATTAGCCACCGCCCTGGTAAACTCGGAGGCGCTACTCCGAGACGCGCTGCACGGTGCCGCGCGTTCTCGTGAAAAGGGGTGCCCTCTTGACGCCTCTGAGATGGACATCCTTGCGTCTCGTAGTTCTTCGTCCGAGTAGAGATACCCGCCGATGGGCACAGTGTTGTAGCTAGTGTAGGAAATGGGGGATCCCGACATGCTGTTGTACAAACCGGGCATGAAGGCTCTCCCGTCGCAAACGGGACCGTTCCGAAGAGGTAAGCTGCTTTCCGAGATATCTCGGCTCCTGTAAGCCATCATATTTGGTTGGCTGAGCATCTGGTTGGCTAAAAAGTCTTCTCGGGAGGTCTTGGCAGCCGAGACCATTTCCGTTTCACTGAAGCCAGAGAAAAAGGGACGTTACAATGCAGGCAAGTTCCTCGATTTACGACCGTCATTGGGCCCAAAATTTCCACTGCTAAGCAAAATCATTATTGAGTGAATTTTGTCCCCCTTTTATAACCTTTTTCTGCCACAGCTGTTAAGTGAATCACTGCGCTAGTTAAGTTAGGAACATGGTTGTTAAGTGAATCTGGATTCCCCATTCACTCTGCTGACCCCGGGTCACTGCGACCGTCATAAATATGAGACAATTGACAAGCACCCGAATTTTGACCATGTGACGGTGGGGATGCTGCAACGGTCATAAGTGTGAAAAACGGCCCTAAGTCACTTTTTCAGTGCTGCTGTAAATTTGGTCACTAAACCAATAGTTGTTAAATCAAGGACTACCTGTAACTTATTCCCTCCTGCTTGGTTGAAATATAGGTAATCTTCAGTTTACGACCAGAGGTGGCCTTCATACTGTTACTACCAGTTCGCCCAGAACTGGTAGTAACCGGAAATGTCAGCACAACATCAAACACCACAGCCATTCACTTGCGTGCACCATCCACACATGTGTACGGCGTTAAAGACACAGCGATATAGAACGGGATTGCGCCCGGGCGGACAGGTGGGGGCGGGGGCCCACCGGCAGGTCACTGCTACCGGTTTGGCTAAATCGGGCCGAACCGGCTGAATTCCACCTCTGCTTACAACTGTAATGGGCCCTGCCCGTTACGGTTGTTAAGTTGTGACGGTACACAAAACAGATCAGCCACATGACCTGGTGATTTCATGACCTTTTTTTGCGGTGCTCACTAAGCAAAGTCCGCGTTGGGGAAGTGAGCCGATTTTGTTCACCGTGACTTGGTTTTGCCGAAGACCAGAAGTAAACACCGGTTTTCAGCAAAAACATGGGAAAACACGGTCACGTGAGAACGGTGTCAGGTTTCGGTGTCATCTCCAAATAAATTGCATTTCCAAACAAATACGTTTGGAAATGGCGCCTTGGCCAACACCCTCTTAACGTTCTCCCAGGTTTCTCTCAACATTGCCATCCAATCGGTCAAGCTGACTGAGGAAGGGGGCTCCCTTGGGTACTCTGGCATGGGGACGAAATCCATACCACTCACTATTTTAAACGGGGCTAATCCCGTGCTACTGTGGACAGCATTATTATACGTGACCTCCGCAAAAGATAGGAGGTCTGCCTAATTCGACTGTTGGTAGTTGACGTAGCATCTTAGGTATTGCTCTATCATGGCATTCAGTCTCTCCGCCTCCCCATTAGTGCTCGGGTGAAACGCTAAGCTGAGGCCTTGGGATGACCCTATGGATCGTAGGAACTCCCTCCAGAATTTTGCTGTGAACTGGACTCCTCGGTCAGAGATGATTCTTCTGGGTACTCCAAACACTGCAAATGTCTGTAAATGCAGGCCAATTGGGTGACCTCACCATGGGGTGGGAGGTCTGTTGAAATCTTAGAATTGGGTCAACCCCCTGTGGGAGTCCGCTATAACTGCAAAAAGTCATTAAGCAGCTATATCTATACCAGTGGTGAAATCCAAATTCTTTTACTACCAGTTCTGTGGGCGTGGCTTGGTGGGCATGGCTTGGTGGGCATGGCAGGGGAAGGATACTGCAAAATCCCCATTCCCTCCCCACTCCTGGAGGAAGGATATTGCAAAATCTCCCTTCCCACCCCACTCTGAGACCAGCCAGAGGTGGTATTTGCCGGTTCTCCGAACTGCTCAAAATTTCCGCTACCGGTTCTCCAGAACCTATCAGAACCTGCTGGATTTCACCCCTGATCTATACTCATATCTACGCAGGTCGTCCTTGACGTACGACTACAATTGAGCTTCCGTTGTTCAGTGAATATCTTTTCTTGCCACCGTTGGTAAGCGAATCACTCCAGTCGTTAAGTCAGTAACACGGTTGTTGAGTGAATCCCCACTGACTGAGCTTGTCAGGAGGTCCAAAAGGCTGATCATGTGACCCTGGAACGCTGCAACCGTCATAAATACGAGTCAGTTGCCAAGCATCTATAATTGTGATCACACGACCGCAGGGAGGCTGCAACGGTCATAGAAGTGGGGAAACGGTCATAAGTCACTTTTTTCAGTGCCTTTTTAACTTCCGAAAGGTCACTAAACGAACTGTTGTAAGTCAAGAACGACCTGTGTCTATACTATATTTGTACCCCCTTTCTTAACAATATTCATCAAACGTCCAGCAGAGGGCAGCACCTAACTGACTTTGGAAGCTCTCCAATAGCTAAACTGAGTTAAACCTGGTTTAATCCTGGGATGGGAGAACTTGCCCTCGAAGTTGTTGGCTGTGGAATCATTAATAGACTCACAGCACTTTCTAATACCCAGAATTCCCTTAGATCAGTGTTTCTCCACCTTGAAGATGGGTAGACTTCAACTCCCAGAATTCCCATGCCAGTATGGGGGAACTTCAAGGTAAATCACATCCACAGCGTTCCCTCAATCTACTAATCTCGCCTCTTGGTCCCAAAAAAAGCAGTAAGATTTGTCTAAGATAGTGTTTCTCAACCTTAATTCTGGGAGTTGAAGCCCACACATCTTCAAGGATCCATGGTTGAGAAACACTACCCATAATCCCTTGCTGGGTGGAGTCTGGAGCTGAGTGTTTACTGGCCGGATGCCTTTCCTGTCGCCAATGCGGAGTTGTTTTTCAGCAGATATATTCTCATTGTGCCCAGAGATAGAAATATCTGCCTCTACCGAGGATCGAACTCACAGCCTCCTGATGGTGAGGCGAAAGCTCCATCTCTAGGCTATGCACCACTCAGTGAAGGGAATCACTCATCATCATCTTTTAATGACCCCATAATCCCTTGCGGGGTGAAGTTCTGGGCAACTGAATGGAGCTGAGTGTTTACTGGCTGGATGCCGTCCCTGTTGCCGGTACGGAGTTTTGTTCGGCAGATATATTCTCAACGTACCCAGAGAGAGAAATATCTGCCTCTACCTAGGATCGAACTCACAGCCTCCTGATTGTGAGGCGAGAGCTCCACCACACCACTCATGAAACACTGCCTTAAGTTGCTAGGAATTAATACTAGAAGCTCTTTTTCTCGGAGACGGATGAAGAAGACAACCGAGTCTCTTCTTCGGCGAGAAATCCCCCTCGTCAGAAAGATACAGGTGCCACATTCGAATCCCACCTTGCGTCCACTCCTGCTACCGTCACGAGCCTCACCTGGAGTTCAGGAGCCTCCGGCAGGTGTCCACCACGTGTTCCATCTGCAGGTAGAGGGCCGTGGCCATCACCGCCAGGATGTTACTTTCCCGTAGGTTGAGACGAGAGGTGTACATAAAATCCAGGAGGATCCCGAATCCTTCAGGACTGATCTCCGGGTCTAAATTCAGGACAGACAGATTGCACTTGAGCTGGTCGGTGAAGATGCTGTAGAAAAGGCCACTGTGGAGAAGCAAAAGGGACAATTCTGGTCACCATGATATTAAAAGAAAGATGTCGAGATTCCAAGAAAGAGTGCAGAGAAGAGCAGCCAAGAGGATTGGGGACTTGGAGGATAAAACATACGAAGAACGGTTGTAGGAATTGGGAATGTCTAATCTAATAAAAAGAAGAAATAAGGGGGAACATGATAGCAGCCTTCCATTATTGGAGGAGCTGCCCCAAAGAAGAGGGGGTCCACCTATTTTCCAAAGCACCAGAAGGCAGGACAAGAAGCAACGGATGGAAACTCATCAAGGAGAGAAGCAACCTGGAATTAAGGAGGAATTTCCTGACAGTGAGAACAATTAACCAGTGGAACAGCTTGCCACCAGAAGTTGTGGGAGCTCCATCACTGGAGGCTTTTAAGAAGAGACTGGCAGTCATTTGTTTGAGATTGTACTCGAGCAGGGGGTTGGACTAGAAGACCTCTGAGATGCCTTGCTGTCCTGTGATTTTGGAAGGGAGGGAGGGAGGGAGGGAGGGAGGGAGGGAGGGAGGAAGGAAGGAAGGAAGGAAGGAAGGAAGGAAGGAAGGAAGGAAGGAAGGGGATGGAAACTAATTCAGGAGAGAAGCAACCTGGAATTAAGGAGAAACTTCCTAACAGTGAAAACAATTAACCAGTGGAACTGCTTGCCACCAGAAGTTGTGGTTGCTCCATCACTGGAGGCTTTTAAGAGGAGACTGGACAGCCATTTGTTTGAGATGGTACAGGGTCTCCTACTCCAGCAGGGGGCTGGACTAGAAGACCTCTGAGATCCCTTCCGACAATGTTATTCTACAATTTCTAAACCTCAGATGTGTCAGTGGGAGGACTCAAACACCACACACTCAAATCCAAAACAGCTTCTATGTTCCTCCTGTACACTGGTGGAATACGGGGAGTCCTTGACCTACGACCACAACTGAGCCCAAAATTTCCGTTGCTAAGTGAGACAGTGTGAAGTTTCCGAAAGATGCCCTAATTAATTCATGAGCCATGAGCCGAACTTCAAAAGAAATATAGTAATTTATTAGGAGCACCATTTCGGCAATACTCGGATGCAGTTAGAACTAATCCCACGTAGATTTACGTTCCCCTACGACCCTGTCTCTCCCCTCCTCTCTGGCCATGTCATAAATCACATTATCCAATTAACCACTTTGGCTGGCTGTGAAACCTAACACCCTCCTTCTGATTGCGGTCAGGAAGAATGTATGGAATGCAGCTTCAGTTAGGGAAATCAATCAGCTCTATCAGTTCTCCCTCCCTCCTGCTCATGGCAACTTGAAAGCTTTGCAAGTTGACAGACAGCTGTTAAATGATTTTCTGCTTCCTTTTACGACTGTGGTTCAGTGAAATCACTGCAGTTGTTCAGTGAGTCATTAAGTGAATCCGGCTTCCCCGTGGATTTGGCTTGCCAAACGGTCGCAAAAGGGGATCACGTGACCCTCTGCAACCATCTTAAGTACATGCCAGTTGCCAACCCTTTTTGAATTTTTGAACACGTGACCACGGGGATGCCGCCCACGGTCATTAAGTGTGAAAAACTGGTCCCAAGCCCCCTTTTTCAGCACCTTTGAGCTGTCCCTAAATGAACTGTTGTAAGTGGAGGACCCCCTGTATCCAATACCTCTATAAAACAGGGACAGCCCCCAGCCTTAGGGTCGCCCCCAATCGGCAAGGCTGTTCGGTTGGCTGCAACATCCCACAGTGAAGATGGGAAGCGGGGGGGGGGGAGGGGGGGAGGTATGGGTCCCTTCTCACCTGCAGGCCATCAGGACTGTTTTGTGGGCCCGGAATTGCTCCTGGCTGACGATAATGACCACGTCGGTGAGGACGTCCCTGCTCCGAAGGCGGTTGAGATTCAGCAGGACGTCGCTGGCATGCCGGGTGAACTGGATACAGCTGTCCGCCGGCGAGGCCATCTTGGTCGTGTCCTGCGGGGCAGGTAGAAGGAGGAGGAGGAGGAGGAGAAGAGGAGACCTTGAGTATCCTTTTGAGCATCCAAGAAGAGGCCGGACGGCCACCTGTCAGAAATGGTGTAGGGTCTCTTGCTTGGGTGGGGGGTTGGACTAGATGACCTCCAAGGTCCCTCCCAAGTCTGTTATTCTATTCCCATTCCTATTAGTTCTATTCTATTCTATTCTTCTTGTAATCTATTTTATTCTGTAACCTATTTTGTGTTCCATGTTCCATTCCGTTCTGTTCCGTTCTATTCTATATTCTCTTCTCTATTCTATTCTATTCTATTCTATTCTATTCTATTCTATTCTATTCTATTCTATTCTATTCATTTTCTAAATTTCTATTCTATTCACTTTTAAAATTCTATTCTATTCTATTCTATTCATTTTCTAAATTCTATTCTATTCTATTCTATTTTCTATTCTAGTCTATTCATTTTTAAAATTTTATTCTCTTCTCTTCTATTCATCTTCTAAATTCTATTCTATTTTCTATTCTGTTCTATTCTATTCATTTTTAAAATTCTATTCTATTCTATTCTATTCTATTCTATTCTATTCTATTCTATTCTATTCTATTCTATTCTATTCTATTCTATTCTATTCTATTCGCTTCTCTTCTCTTCTATTTTCTACGCTAAGCTATGCTATATTCCATTCCATTCCTTATTATTATTCTATTCTATATAATAACTATGACCAACAATGTTTTCCTTGCAAAATACAAATCACGGATATTATTTTGAGGATAATACGTAATATATTGCTGTACATTTGTGGCTCTTGTTTTCTAAAGCATGGGGTGGGGTTCCAACACAACTACCCGGGAATCCTTACTCAGCTATGAAGACCCCACAACTGAACCCAACATTTCCATTTCTAATGAGACGGTGAAGTGAATTTCACCCTGTTTTATGACCGTGTTAAGTTAGCAACAACGGTCGTTATTAAGGGACTCCAGCTTCCCCCTTGTGGCAAAAGGGGATCAGGTGACACCCCGACACCCCTCCCCGGGGGGACACTGCGAGCGTCCTAAATAGGAGGCAGTTGCCAATTTGGATCACGGGACCACGGGGATAGTGGTGCAACGGTTGTTAAGTGTGAAAAACGGTCATAAGCCACTTCTTTCAGGCGCCTCGTAACTTCGAACTGTCCCTAAATGACCGTTGTAAGTTGAGGACTTCCTGTAAGTGGGGGGGAGGAGGAGGGTTCGGTCCGTGGCCTCCGATGCCCACCTGAATACGGTTCCCAGCTGCGTCTAATGAAATATTCCACGGATTGGCGACGTGGCTGGCAAAACATGGGATGGCAAGACCATCCCTCAGGCTTCGATTCACAGTCCCAACGGTATTTTCGGACCTGCGCAAATTAGAAAAAAAGCAGAGGGGGAAAAAAGGGTCAGAAATGAGCCACATATAAAACCTGCTCCAAATTATGAGATTCGCTTTGGAGAAAGCAGCTTCACGGCCCAAGCATGTTGCTATCAAGGACATGGCACAGTCGTTAAGCGAGTCTGACTCAGTTCATTGACTCTGCGTGTCACAGCCAGCTGGAAAAGGAGCAAACGGAGATTACGTGACCCCCCCCACTCCCGCCACTGTCATAACTACATGCCAGTTGCCAAGCCCTCGAGTTTTGGTCATGTCACGATGGTCGTAAGGGTGAGGATTGGTCATAAGTTGCTGTTTTTCAGTGTTGTAATTTTAAACGGTCGGTAAATGAATAGTCGTAGAGTGAGGATTCCCTGTAGACAAATGTTAGGCCCAAATCCCTGCATTAGAGTGGCTAAAGATTTGAGAGAAGTGGATAGTTGAGAAATGTGAAGATAGAAAGAAAGAGAGAGAGAGAGAAAGAAAGAAAGAAAAGGAAGAAAGAAGAAAGGAGGGAGGGAGGAGAAAGGAAGGAAAAAGGGAAGGGAAGAAAGAAAGAAAAAGAAAGAAAGAAAGAAGAAAAAGGGGTTGGAAGAAAGGAAGGAAGGAAGGAAGAAGAGAGAGAGGGAGGAAGGAATGAGGAAGGGAAGAAAGAAAAAAGAGAGAGAAAGAAAGAAAGAGGAAGGAAGGAAAAAAGGGAAGGAAAGAAAGAAAGAAAGAAAGAAAGAAAGAAAGAAAGAAAGAAAGAAAGAAAGAAAGAAAGAAGGGATGGAAGAAGAGAAGGAAGGAAGGAAAGAGAGAGCGAGGGAGGAAGGATGAGGAAGGGAAGAAAGAAAAAAGAGAGAGAAAGAAAGAAAGAGGAAGGAAGGAAAAAAGGGAAGGAAAGAAAGAAAAAGAAAGAAAGAAAGAAAGGATGGAAGAAGAGAAAGAAGAGAAAGAAGGAAGGAAAGAGAGAGAGAGGGAGGAAGGAATGAGGAAGGGAAGAAAGAAAGAAAGAGGGAGGGAGGGAGGGAAGGAAGGAAAGATAATAATGAAGAAAGAAAAAAAAAAAGAAGGAATAGACTTCAACTCCCAGAATTCCCCAGAGTGGAGTTCTGAAAGGAGGGGCTGGACTAGAAGACCTCTAAGGTCCTTCCCGACCCTTATTCCGCATTTCCAAGGATTGTCAACTGCAGACGAAGACTTTCCTTTTTCTAGCCAACTTCCCGCCCCAAATAATTGTTGCTTTGCCCCCAGCGCTTTTCGCACTCAAGACCAACTTGTCCTAGTTGCCTTCAATTCCGTTGAAGAATTGAACTTTAAAAAAACCAAAAAAAAAAAAACCCTCATCCGCAAAGCGAGAACCGCTTCCTGCTGGGCTGCAGGGGTGCTCCTGTCCACAAGAGGGCGCCCCTGTATAAACGATTATATAAAATGAAATGATTTGTGCCGCTTTATTCGAGGAAACGGTCATCGGATGCCCACCAGATGAAAATAATGACCCCCTTTTTGCGACCCTCTGACAAGACAAGTCAACGGGGAAGCCGGATTCGCTCAACAACCGTGCGACTAACTTAACGACTGCTGTGATTCGCTGAACAACGGTGGCAAGAAAAGTCCTAAAATGGGCTCAAAACTCCATTCAATCAGAATTGAGCCGGAAGGGATCCCTGGAGGTCTTCTAGTCCAACCCCTTGTTCAAGCAGAAGACCCTATATAGCTTCAGCCAAATGGCTGCCCAGGGTCTTCTTAAAAACCTCCAGGGATGAAGCACCCACAATGCCTAGTGGCAAACCGTTCCACCGGTTAATTAAATTAAATTAAATTAAATTAAATTAAATTAAATTAAATTAAATTAAATTAAATTAAATTAAATTAAATTAAATTAAATTAAATTAAATTAAATTAAATTAAATTAAATTAAATTAATTAATTAAATTTATATGCCGCCCCTCTCCGAAGACTCAGGGCGGCTCTAATTGCTCTCACTGTTAGGAGAACCACAAAACTGTCTCACTTAGCAACCGAAGTTGGGGCTCAACTGTGGTCGTAAGTCGAGGACCGCCCTGTAAATGATCTGGATGAAAAGCTTGTTCATTCTACAAAAGCACCACCTTCACAAAAACCCAAAGACAACATTTAATAAGATGAAACGTTTCACATCAATGACCAGCTCCAGCAGCAGAATCGATCCCATGCCGAATATGAATCAGCAAATGGACGAGGTGGACCGCAGCTGATTTTTCCAATCCCAGCAGAAATAATAATGATAATAATTTTCTTGCAGCTCACGAAGACGCGTGCTTTGGAATGAACCCTGTTGAGTCAGAAAAGGTGCTAAAAAGCTTCCTTCTTTGGGGGGGGGCTAAAATAGAGAGGGGGAGGAGATACGTGGGGCTTCGCTTTTGAAATATTATGGGGCACAGAAGATTTTTCTTCAAGTATTTGAAGGGGTGTCTTATAGGCCCGTGTTTCTGGAGCATAGCAATTTTTAAGATGAGTGGACTTCAACTCCCACAATTCCCCAGCCAGGAAGAATAGACTTCAACTCCCAGAATTCCCTAGCAAACATGAGTGGACTTCAACTCCCAGAATCCTTCAGCCGGGAAGAATAGACTTCAACTCCCAGAATTCCCTAGGAAACATGAGTGGACTTCAACTCCCAGAATTCTTCAGCTGGGAAGAATGGACTTCAACTCCCAGAATTCCCTAGGAAACATGAGTGGACTTCAACTCCCATCCGGCAACCTTGTGAAACTTGTGAAAGTCCATGTGTAACTCACATGTAGACATGGCACGGCCTGCCCCTAATAGCTGTGCCACCACATTCCATCCAGACCACCATCACTTTCCGAAAAGTCTCCAAGGGCAGCCCCATGTAACCGCATTGTAGTAATCCATGCACATGGAAACCCAAATGCAGCTGATGTTCCACGATGACTAAATGCGTCTCAAGTTGCAAAATAACCCAAGAGAAGCCAAGGTAGAGGAGGCCCAACAACCAGTCCCCTTTTATTTATTTATTTATTTAATTTATTTTATTTAATTTATATACCGCCCTCAGGAAGGTATGCCAACGCTGTGTGCCCAGACCCCCTCACCCATCAGCTACAACTCATCCTAGACCCACAATTCGCTCAACACGTTTCACATCCTGCCTGCTCCGTTCACTCATTTCTAAACCAAGGGCAGTGATGGGATTCAGCCGGTTCGCACCACTTTGGGAGAACCGGTCGTTAACTTTCTGAGCAGTTTGGTAAACTGGTTGTTGGAAGAAATCATTAGGGCAGAGAATCGGTTGTTAAATTACGCGAATCCCACCACTGGCTGAATCCCACCACTGCCCGGAGTGCCAAGGGCAGTGATGGGATTCAGCCGGTTCGCACCACTTCGGGAGAACCAGTTGTTAAACTTTCTGAGCAGTTTGGCAAACTGGTTGTTGGAAGAAATCATTAGGGCAGAGAACAGTTGTTAAATTACTTATTCCCACCACTGACCATGACCCCGAACCACGAATGGTTGAGGTTGCACCAAACATCTCAAAAAATGAACCACCATTGATGCTAATCAGGCTTGGCGTAAGGAATCAGTGCAGCTACGGTTTCCTTCATTAACCGGGTTGAATGGTGATTAACCGGGTTTCCTTCATTAACCGGGTTGTGTGAACGCAGCCACGGTGGGGCTCATTCCAGAGTTGGTCCACCAAGCCTTCGCACATTCATACCTTAATTGCAATCCAAGCAATTTTATAGAGAGACATCAGAGTTTAAATCCCAACGCCTGAAGCTCGTGGGTTGAAAAAATTCACCGCAAATGCACACAATTTTAGGAAACACTTTCTCAGGATGGGTTTGGACTTCAACTCCCAGAATTCTAGGCTGTGGCTGGGGGATTCTGGGAGTTGAAGTCCACCCATTTTAAAAGTGGCCCTGGAGGAGGAAAAGCTACAACTCACAACTTCTAGAGGGGAGGGGGGGAAAAAAGTTTCAGGGTTGAGAGTTTTCAGTTGAACTCATCCAAGTTGAATTCGTAGTTTAATTCATCGAAGCAGCTCATTTCTTCCCTTCGCTGCAATTCTGCCCGGCAACAAGTGACCCTGACTCCTCGAAACTCCCCCCCCCCAAAAAACCAAAAAAAAAGTATTTTGGGGCAATGAATGCAGAAAAAAATCAGCATTTTGGAGAGTCATTGGGAATTCGGTGGGCTATAAATGGAAATACAAGACTTAATCTGCTTAGCGCAGTGTTTCTCAACCTTGGAAGCTTGAAGATGGGTGGACTTCAACTCCCAGAATCCCCCAGCCAGCGCTGCTGGCTGGGGGATTCTGGGAGTTGAAGTCCACCCATCTTCAAGCTTCCAAGGTTGAGAAACACTGCGCTAAGCGAGTGTTCAAAGTTACGACGCTGAAAAAAAATGACTCACGATTGGTCCTTGCAGTTACGACCGTCACAGCGCGCGTGCACCCCTGCCTCCGGTCATGTGATCAAAATGTGGGTGTTTGACAGCCGGCGTGTATTTACAACTGGGTCACACGATCGCCATCGTCAATGAGGGAAGCCGGATTCACTTAACGACCTGACAATTCCATTTACAAATGCAGTGATTTGCTTAACAACCGTGGCTAAAAAAAAATAAAGTCACAAAATTGGATGCCACTCAACTTAACGACTGCCTTGCTTAACAGGGGAAATTCTGTTCCAAATTGTGGTCGTTAAGTCGAGGACTACCTGTCCTTGATGTCTCACCTGCCACCCAGCACCTCTCTTGGCCTCAGGGCTGGATTTGACCCTCCTGAGTCTATGAGGTCTCGTTTTCTTTCATTGTGAGCCGTCCATCATTGATCTGAGGTGGATGGCTATAGAAATTGGATGGATGGATGGATGGAAGGAAAATAGAGAGGGGGTGGGAGGGGACGGACAGACAGACAGATAGTTATCAATGAGATGGATAGATAGATATAAATGGCTAAATGGATAGAAAGATGTAGGGTGGATGGATGGAAGGATAGAT